AAATTGTTGCTTTTCTTTAATTGGACACTCAACGCTTCGCTTTATAGCTTTTTCAGTAGCGTTCACTAAAACACAAACAAAAAGAAGCTGTAAAGCGAAACGTTGAGTGTCCAATTAAAGAAGAACAACAATTTGGTGTTATAAGGTCGTTTATTTCTAGTATTAATTTTTTTCTATGATGTCAAGATAGAATATTGACGATCTTTAATCTTTCTGTCTTATCAAAATATCATAATTGCATTGTTTACATTTTCTACGTTGTCAAAATATCGAAGTGTCATTGTTTGATCGCGTTTTGCAGTTAACGAAGTGACGTAGCGTAAGTTTTATTTTGTCAAGTGGCCCACTGTTTAATTGTTTTGTGTTTCAAAGATAACATCATGTTCTACAAGTTTGTTTTGATTAGTTTCGTAGAGATAACGTCATATTCTACAAGTTTGTTTGATTAGTTTCGTAGAGATAACGTTCTATTCTACAAGTTTGTTTGATTAGTTTCGTAGAGATAACGTCATATTCTACAAGTTTGTTTGATTAGTTTCGTAGAGATAACGCCCTATTCTACAAGTTTGTTTGATTAGTTTCGTAGAGATAACGTCATATTCTACAAGTTTGTTTGATTAGTTTCGTAGAGATAACGTTCTATTCTACAAGTTTGTTTGATTAGTTTCGTAGAGATAACGTCATATTCTACAAGTTTGTTTGATTAGTTTCGTAAAGATAACGTCATATTCTACAAGTTTGTTTGATTAGTTTCGTAGAGATAACGCCCTATTCTACAAGTTTGTTTGATTAGTTTCGTAGAGATAACGTCATATTATAAAATTCTGGTTTCATTAGTTTCGTAGAGATTCCTTGAATTTCAATTAGTCTCGTGAAAGTTAAATTTGTAGAAACCGTTTGCGTATTCTAATAAAAACCACAGCAAACGTTTTTAAACCATTAAATAAGCAGCATCTTTAACTTTAAGCTCTCAGAAAAGATTATTTACGCTGATAAAAGGACTAACTTTTATTGACTTGTCATATAAATTCAAACCAATTGTACAACATGTACTTACCGTAGGTTTCCTTGTTCTTCTTAACACCACATCGTTTACAACATATACTCACCGTAGGTTTCTTCTTAACAGCACACCGTTTACAATATGTACTTGCCGTAGGTTTCCTTGTTCTTCTTAACACCACGTCGTTTACAATAGGTACTCACCGTAGGTTTCTTTGTTAACACCACATCGTTTACAACATATACTCACCGTAGGTTTCTTCTTAACAGCACACCGTTTACAACATGTACTCACCGTAGGTTTATTCTTAACACCACATCGTTTACAATATGTACTCACCGCAGGTTTCCTTGTTAACACCACATCGTTTACAACATGTACTCACCATAGGTTTCTTCTTAACACCACATCGTTTACAACATGTACTCACCGTAGGTTTCTTCGTTAACATCACATCGTTTACAACATGTACTCACCGTAGGTTCTTTCTTAACACCACATCGTTTACAATATGTACTCACCGTAGGTTTCTTCTTAACACCACATCGTTTACAATATGTACTCACCGTAGGTTTCTTCTTAACACCACATCGTTTACAACATGTACTCACCGTAGGTTTCTTTGTTAACACCGCATCGTTTACAATATGTACTCACCGTAGGTTTCTTTGTTAACACCACATCGTTTACAACATGTACCCACCGTAAGTTTCTTCTTAACAGTACACCATTTACAATATGTACTCGCCGTAGGTTTCTTCTTAACACCACACCGTTTACAATATGTACTCACCGTAGGTTTCTTTGTTAACACCACATCGTTTACAATATATACTCACCGTAGGTTTCTTCTTAACACCAGATCGTTTACAATATGTACTCACCGTAGGTTTCCTTGTTAACACCACATCGTTTACAACATGTACTCACCGTAGGTTTCCTTGGTAACACCACATCGTTTACAAGATGTACTTGCCGTAGGTTTCTTCTTAACACCACATCGTTGTTTAAAACGACAAGTCACGAAAATATTCTTTAGTTGGTAATTATAACTTTTAACAATTTGCCTGAAGGATCTTGTTTCTGATTTATAACTCAACTGGCAAAGTCACGCACACGTGCTTTTTGTGAAGAAAGTCACAGAAAATAAGTAAGATATAAAAACAACAACAAAAGAACTTGCCAAACAACTTCTACGGTATCATGGCACAATAATACGTTCTGATGATTCCTGATAAACGTCTACAGCATATGGTACAATAATACGTTCTGATGATTCCTGATAAACTTCTACAGCATCATGGCACAATAATACGTTCTGATGATTCCTGATAAACTTCTACAGCATCATGGCACAATAATACGTTCTGATGATTCCTGATAAACTTCTACAGCATCATGGCACAATAATACGTTCTGATGATTCCTGATAAACTTCTACAGTATCTTGGTACAATAATACGTTCTGGTGATTCGTAAGTGAAATTATCACCGACTGTATTGTAATAACAAAGCAGAGAAGAATAATTTGTTTTGTCAATTGTGTTCTAAATTGTGTGGACTTCGACAAAAAGAGACGGTTATTTAAAGCTCTGGATACAACTGTGGTGATTAACTGTGTAACGAACATTTGTATATATGTTTGACTTCTTTTAACATATTATTTTAAAACAAGTGGACTGTGTGCTGTTTGTTTATTATTGAAACTTATCGCCAACAAGTCACAGACACCTACTGTAAAGAATCCTGCCGACACATAAGGAAAAACCTGAAATACTTAATATTTCATAATCATACTGTGTGGGGAATAGCTTTTTCTGATGAAAGGTGTGAATTAACATTTTAAGGGCGTAACTCCTAGATTAGAATTTGACACTCATAAAAGTGTGAATTCACACTTTCTGTTTGCGAATGTAATTAATAAATGCACGTCTGTTTTGCTTTGGCTTCTTAGCAATGTAGGAAAGAAATACCCTTATTACTTCACATTTCACTTCGAACATTTCTACTGAGTAAAAATAGTTATACATTTATAGAGTCATATCATGAATGATTCAATCTCAAGCGCAAGCACTTATTTTTGTTAATGATGTTTAACAGTAGTAAAACATTTATGTAAACTCACTGGTACTTCGTGTAGAAGTAGAGCCAAGGTTTTTATGTATCATACAGAAACACATACTTTATGTATGTAGATAAGTGGAACCAGTACTTATACCCGTAGAGAAATGGAACCAGTCTTGATACCCGTTAAAAACTAGAACCAATCCTTATACCTGTAGAGAAGTGGAACCAGTATTTGTATTGTAGAGAAGTGGAACCAGTCCTTATACTCGTAGAAAACTAGAAACAGTCTTGATACCCGTTGAAAACTAGAACCAGTCCTTATACCTGTAGAGAAGTGGAACCAGTCCTTATACTCGTAGATAAGTGGAACCACTATTTGTATTGTAGAGAAGTGGAACCAGTCCTTATACCCGTAGAGAAGTGGAACGAGTCTTTATACCCGTAGAGAAGTGGAATCAGTCTTTGTATCCGTAGAGAAGTGGAACCAGTCCTTATACCCGTAGATAAGTAGAACCAGTCTCGATACCCGTAGAAAACTAGAACCAGCCCTTATACCCGTAAAGAAATGGAACCAATCTTGATACCCGTTGAAAACTAGAACCAGTCCTTATACCTGTAGAGAAGTGGAACCAGTCCTTATACTCGTAGAGAAGTGGAACCAGTCTTTATATCTGCAGAGAAGTGGAACCAGTCCTTATACCCGTAGGAAACTAGAACCAGTCCTTATACCCATAAGTGGAACCAGTCTTTATTTAGTCTGTAGAAAAGTATATATAGTGTTTAAACTGATAATGATTTATATTTCTGGTTGATAAGCTGTGGAATACGATTCAGATAAATACGAGTACGGTTGGTAACACCAGTACTGATATTGATACAGCATATTTAGCTTTCTGGTTGATAAGCTGTGGAATACGATTGAGGTAAATACGAGTACGGTTGGTAACACCAGTACTGATATTGATACAGCATATTTAGCTTTCTGGTTGATAAGCTGTGGAATACGATTCAGGTAAATCTTGGCTACATTAAGACTCAGGTTAACGAATGTTTTTGATGAGAATCTCAATGTGCTGGCAACGAGAGTATTCAGTTAGTAGTTTGCCTATTGATTTTAACGAGATCCTGATTTGTTGACGTCAGAGTTACTAATGTCGTTACATTGACATTTTGTGTCTGTCTCCACCTATCAGTTTTTCCTAGTCTTTGGAAATCAGCTTGACAAAATGTTGTTATCTACTTATATATAAATGAACGATAGCGTGATTTGTAACGTGAAGACTTAGACTGACGGCGTACATTTTCCCTCTGTATATATATATAAGAAATGGTATATACATCAATTTCTTTGCCGTTAATTAATATAAACTTCTGAGTAAAGGTTATTGTTTATATTTGAAGTAGGCTTAACTGTATATTATACCTCTGAGTTTGCGCAAGAGAAATATTGTTTCCTGTAAAAAAAAAAGTGCGGTACAATAACTTTTACATGATAGAGGACTTTTCCTAAATTACTTGTGCACGAAATGGCTCGTGGGTTTATAATTTTGTTGGTTCCTAATAACATGTAAGCCACACATAAAAAAAAACAAAAAACACCATCAATATTGCCCAGCAGATTCTAAAAACGGTACATAAAAAAGTTGGTAGTTTGGAGGTTAAACAGTTGTTTTCGCTGTGGTCCGTAATTCCTTCTGACTTGTTCATTTAATCAGTTCCTAACGAATAACGAAAATACTTTTATGATGAACCTCACGTCTAATAATCACACAGAAATAGGGCTTATTTTTTATTTTATATTCACTGGCAATGAAAATCTCTGCTGCTACAAATATACAGCACTTAACAGCCAATAGGCTAATCCCAGTTAAGAACAAACGTATTAGGCCTAACTAATACTTAACCATTGTTATTATTTTAAATAGTGCGGTTTACATGAAAAAAAATGGCCTTTGCCACACGGTTTTTATTTACCTGTACAAGAAAGACTATACAATGATGAAGAAAATAACTGTACAGTGGAATATATACAAGTTATTATGATGGCAAGTGGATGTAGTTTTAAGAGTGTCACAAAAGTTATTCAAACATTTTGTATTAGGTTTTTGTAGTCATTTCCTTCTTAGACATTTCAACTGGTTCTTTCTTGATCATTTAAAAAATATAAACTCTTGTTTCGTCATGCACCAGATATAAATACAAACACAAGTTCAACGTGTTTTTTTTTTTAAGAAACATATTTTCACTTTACACTTGTTTTAGGAAATTATAATATTCTAAGAGAAACGGTAAAAGCAGACAGAGATTCTGTTCAACATTACACTTGCAACTGGTGATATACAAGCTCATATATGTATAACTGGAAATACAGCAATGGAACATGTCAATATGGAAGACACACACACACACACACACATTTACACCAAAACCTTGTCACGCGGAACGTGTTCTAGGCATTGTCACCTGCTGGCAAATTGTCTGTTGGTAAGATCAAGGCTGCACAAATATATTTCCTTTTCATTATGTTCAGTTCATAAAGTACGAAAAGAACACGTGTGTAACAAAACATGCGTAACGAAGATCTAAAACATACTTTGTACCGATTTTAAATAAGGTTTTTTTTTGTTTTTACAGTCTGTTGGCGAACGTTTAGTCGTTATAATAACTTTACAAAAATGTTACACGCTTCCAGTGTTACGCCAAGGCGCCGTACGGTGGCGCGGTTGTACGTAACTATATTATATAAGTTAATAGCATATTTCCAACAAGTTCTGTATTCAACTGATTTCTTCCGAGTTGATTGTAAACATGCAGCGATTTAGCGTATTCTTTCTACTTAACCGCGTGTATCAAAATGTCTAAAGTTCTTAACACACACAAAATTCACACACACGCGCGCGCGCGCGCGCAATACGCGAAGCTTAACACCGTAACAATAACACTGAAAATATATACACCCGCTTTACATCCGGTGATTATGATGATGATGATGATGGTCTGGCCTAGGATCCAGGTTTTTTATGACTATCTTGGGGCGACAGCTATTTGGATCCGGATTTATCACAGTTAATGTGCTGCCCTTGAAACGATGATTTCGTCCAACTTCTGGCTTCCTACTGTATATGTGGGTGTGAGATACGGGAGGTGGCGGAGGCGGCGGCATTTTCGGCGACTGTTTTGTCGGTGCCGGCAGGCAGTGCGGTTGCCTGAGTTTGTCCAAGACAGGGGGGTTAGCCACGTGCCGAGGACGGGGCTTGGGCGACGTGTTGCGGTGATGTATTTCTTGACGGTGAGACAGCGTTAAGTCCAAGGCCCCGATATCGTCTCGCTGAGGCTCGAGCTTTTCGTGGGACGACACGCACGTGGACGGAACACGTAGAGGAGTTTGGCAAGATGGATAATTGGCGCTCGGCGATAGACACGAACTGCTAACAGTTGCCGATAGTATTGGGGGCGGAGAAAGAGAATAATTAGACAGTTTCCCAGTTTCAAGTGTTGTCTTAGTCGACCACAAGTCATCCTCTGTGACAAACTGAGTCTTGGAACGTTTATTTACACCGCTGCTTAATTCTCTGTATGCCTTAGAGTCTTGCCTATCGTGATCAACAACTTTAGACAGCTTTCTAAATATTTTTATGGGTGGGATATCTCCAGGTTTGCTAACAAAAAACTCTGGGGGCTTTGAAACTTTCATCCCACCGTCTTTTTTTGATTTTTTCTCATGGTGTCGAGAACTCTTCTTGTCGTCACTAGATGGAAGTTTAGCTGGTTTAGTTACCTGAGCGTCTACCTTTCCAGCGACTACTGTTAGTGCTACCTCCAATGTGGGTTTTACGTTTTTAATAGGTTCCGTGGTACCAACTTCACAGGAAAACGACGGTAGGTCTAAACTTGGTTGAATATTATTTACTTCACTGGTTTTGGAAGCATTGGAGTCACTGTTTAGTTTACTGACTTTAGATGAACTTATAAGTTCCTTTATTTTCGTTAAGTTTCCAAGTTTGTCACTGTTAACTGGGCTTGCAAGTTGCCTTGTTTCGGTTGGAGTGACAATATTTCTAGTTTCATTTGGGCTGATAACTTTCTTGGTTTCAGTTGAGCTGATGACTTTCTTAGTTTCAGTTGGGCTGATAACTTTCTTAGTTTCAGTTGGGCTGCTAGATTTTTGATTTTCAGTTGGGTTGATAACTTTCTCGGTTTCAATTGGGCTGATAACCTTCTCAGTTTCAGTAGGGCTAATAACCTTCTCAATATCGGTTGGGATGACAACTTTCCCAGTTTCAGATGGGTAACCAGTATTCTCAGTTTCAGTAGGGTTGATAACCTTCCCAGTTTCAGTAGGGTTGATAACCTTCCCAGTTTCAGTAGGGTTGATAACCTTCCCAGTTTCAGTAGGGTTGATAACCTTCCCAGTTTCAGTAGGGTTGACAACTTTCCTAGTTTCAGATGGGGTGACAACTTTCTCAATTTCAGTTCCATTGATATTTTTCTCAGTTTCAGTTGGGCGGACAATTTTTCGAATTTCAGTTGGGCTAATATATTTCTCAATTTCTGTTGAGCTAGCAACATTCTTAGTTTCAGGTGAGCTGACCATCTTTTTCGTTTTACTTAATTTGGCGTGTTTCTTCGTTTCACTTGTGCTAGAAAGTTTCTTTATTTCACCGTGACTGGAAGATCTCTTAGTATGAGTTTGGCTAGAATGGTTTTTGGTTTGCGGTGTATTGGAAAGTGTATTTATCACACTGGAGCTCGAAAGCTTAGTTTCAGGCGCACTGTCGAGTTTTTTAGTTTCTGCTTGACAAGTATGTTTCTTGGTTTCATCGGGGCTGGCTAGTTTCTGGGGCTCAACAGAAGCTATAAGTGCTTTGTATCCCAATGAACTGGAGTGTTTCTCGTTACGAACTGGGTCAGTGCTTTTTTTTGTTTCAACCTGACTGAGACTGTTCTTCTTCTCAATTGTTTTAGCTTTTTTTTCTGATTTGTGTGTTGCCTCGTCTGTTTGAAGTTGGATCTCCTCAGTTGGTTTCTGCGATTTTTTAGTTGCATGTCCCAACAAACCACAAGACATTTCTGCTGCTTTATTCTTCTGTTGGTCCTTTTTATTTTGAACAGAAAACATTGAGGAGATTCCAGAGAATAAGGATTTGTAGGCCTTACTATATACTTGTGAGTTAATTGTCTGGACGTTGTTATCGTCTTGTAATAGATTTGTAACACTGGTGGGTTTGGTGTCGACATCTTCTTTAGACAGTTTGCTAGAAACATCTTCAGGGTTGATTCTCTTGTTTTTACTATTAAAACTTTCGTGGTTCAGTTTTTTCTTTTCTAAATTTGAATGGTTTTCCATTGGAGCTTCTTTTTCTGTTGCGAACGAGAGCTCTAGTTCGTTGGTTTCTATCCCAGAATTCCCTTTATTGGACAATGGTCGAGCCAAAGTTATCGTTACGCCATTACTGCTGTTAGACAATGTTTGAATACAGGTAGAGCTACAGGTCTTAATTCTTTCTGTGGGCTTATTCATGATTTTATAAAACAGCCTCATGGGACCATTCTGAAAAATAAAAACAATAAATTTTCAATAGCAACATCTTAGTAACCCATACACACACAGAAAAAAGTTGTTAACTATGATACAGTCAGTGAGCAATATAAAAACACAAATTAAACTATATACTGTATAATAATAATAGCCAGAGGAGTAGGGGCTTGATTTTGACCGAAGGGGGGGCAAGCAAGTTTTGCCCGAAAATATAAAATCGACCTTAAAATCATGTACTATAAAGTTTAAAGTCGCTTGAAAAAAATTGTTCTAATCACTTCCATGCGGAACCATACGGCGCTAAAGGGTTAAAAAGGTGCAAGTGAAAATGTCACGTGTGGGTAATATATTTTCTGAAAAAGGCATAATCAATTTGAAAATATACAAGTTATAGATATGTACGGAGCTTTTCCCCGAAAAACTATTGGGGCCAGAATTTGGGGGTATTGCCCCCTTCCTCTTACGCCTATGATAATAGCTGCCTACTTATGAGGAATTCGTATTATATATACCAGCATTATTCATATTAAAGTATACAAAGATGCTAGCTTTCCTCACACCATATGTTTATATTGTACAAATACAAATACAGGCATATCTTAGGCTAAGAGTTAATACATTCTAGGTGCAATTGCAACGCCCCCCCCCCCCAGTGGCACAGCGGTATGTCTGCGGATTTACAACGCTAGAATCCGGGTTTCGATACCCTTGGTGTAGCTTTGTGCCTAATTACAAACAAACAAACAATTGCAACGGTCTTCATACAAAGAATATAGCTATCATTATTTAAAAATCCTAAGCGCTACTTACCCTTAAACCGTTAGATGGTCAAGTTACCTTACGATGTTTATTAAACATTAAATTTATACGACTGTAAACTTTTACTGAACGTATTTGCAAACAGATTTACATTTTTATCATGAATAACTCTAAGCCGTTAGCTTTCTGATCAGATTATATTAATATACAGTATTAATGTCCACAAACCAACAATTTCACATGGTTGGTTTGTGATTACACGTTCATACTGAAACCTATCGTGGATACAGTACATGGTTGGTTTGTGATTACACGTTCATACTGAAACCTATCGTGGATACAGTACATGGTTGGTTTGTGATTACATGTTCATACTGAAACCTATCGTGGATACAGTACATGGGTGGTTTGTGATTACACGTTCATACTGAAACCTATCGTGGATACAGTACATGGGTGGTTTTTAACTTATAATTAATTATCGAGACACTAAAAACTGCATATCATGGAGGAGGTACGTTACAGCACGGGGTACAAGAAATGCTCAAGTACTGGATAGTGAAATAACATATATATATGTTTCAACATGAATAACCCCTTTCGTTAGGATTACGTTTGTACAGCTTATTGTGATCGTCAACTTTGGAGCACAGACGCCAGGGTTACCAAAAGTATGTCACATCTGCCAGAAATAGATTAATGTATATAGACTTTGGAGAGAGAGGGGGGGGGGAGGTAACGTTAACTCAAATGGAAGCATTATATTGAGGTACTTCAATTAAAGACGTACCTGTCAAGTTGCCTGATATGTACTTTATACGGAAGCTAATAACGAGGCGTTTCAATTAAAGACATACCTGTCAAGTTTCCTGATGTGTACTCTATACGGACGCTAATATGGAGGCATTTCAATTAGAGACGTACCTGTCAAGTTGCCTGATGTGTACTCTATACGGACGCTAATATGGAGGCATTTCAATTAAAGACGTACCTATCATGTTGCCTGATGTGTACTCTATACGGACGCTAATATTGAGGTACTTCAAGTTAAGACATACTCGTAAAGTTGCCTGATGTGTACTTTATACGGACGCTAATATGGAGGCATTTCAATTAAAGACATACCTACCATGTTGCCTGATGTGTACTCTATACGGAAGCTAATAACGAGGCGCTTCAATTAAAGACATACCTGTCAAGTTGCCTGATGTGTACCCCATACGGATGCTAATACTGAGGCGTTTGAATTAAAGACGTACCTTTTAAGTTGCCTGATGTGTATTCTATACGGAAGCTAATATGGAGACAATCGAATTAAGTTACTTGTTATTTGGCCACGCTACAGGTGACTGTTGCAAGCTTAGCAGGACACTGCTGGCGAGATGCAAGAAGACTAATCAAAATATATGTGTGAAAGTTGTGTAAATATGTGTTTCTTCGATGGTTTAATTCCTGAAACTGTGAGATATGTTGTCATTAACACACGATATGTTATACGGGTATATATCATTAACACACGATATGTTATACGGGTATATATCATTAACACACGATATGTTATACGGGTATATATCATTAACACACGATATGTTATACGGGTATATATATCATTAACACACGATATGTTATACGGGTATATATCATTAACACACGATATGTTATACGGGTATATATATCATTAACACACGATATGTTATGCGGGTATATATCATTAACACACGATATGTTATACGGGTATATATCATTAACACACGATATGTTATACGGGTATATATCATTAACACACGATATGTTATACGGGTACATATCATTAACACACGATATGTTATACGGGTATATATATAAGAATGAAAACAATCGACTTACTCGTTTCCACGTGTAAATATAAGCAATATCCATCAACTTGTAGTCATCTCGTAAGGACTCGTCGTAGTACATGATGTCTATCTGTAAAGACATTCATAACAATCAAAACAAAAACGACGATAAACTTACATTAAAACTTCGAAACTAAGACGAGGATAGCCTGTTGTCCTGACATTAAAACTTCGAAACTAAGACGAGGAAAGCCTGTTGTCCTGACATTAAAACTTCGAAACTAAGACGAGGATAGCCTGTCCTGATATTAAAACTTCGAAACTAAAATGATGATGTACTGTTGAACTGACAGTAAAATGATGATGTATTGTTGAACTAACAATGAAACTTCGAAACTAAAATGATGATGTACTGTTGAACTGACAGTAAAATGATGATGTATTGTTGAACTAACAATGAAACTTCGAAACTAAAATGATGATGTACTGTTGAACTGACAGTAAAATGATGATGTATTGTTGAACTGACATTAAAACTTCGAAACTAAAATGATGATGTATTATTGTCCTGACATTTAAACTTCGAAGCTAAAATGATGATGTATTGTTGAACTGACATTAAAACTTCGAAACTAAAATGCTGATGTATTATTGTCCTGACATTTAAACTTCGAAGCTAAAATGATGATGTATTGTTAAACTGACATTAAAACTTCGAAACTAAAATGATGATGTACTGTTAAACTGACAGTAAAATGATGATGTATTGTTGAACTGACAATGAAACTTCGAAACTAAAATGATGATGTACTGTTGAACTGACAGTAAAATGATTATGTACTGTTGAACTGACAGTAAAACGATGAAGTATTGTTGAACTGACAATGAAACTTCGAAACTAAAATGATGATGTATCGTTGAACTAACAATGAAACTTCAAAACTAAAACAACGATAAACTGTTTTCACTTCCTGAAAGTCCATAAAGCAGAGTTTATCAAAGGGTGGGCATCGAGGATACTCTAGGAGGTCCACGGGTCATGGTCGAAATTTCATAAGAATAATTAAAAAAATATGATTATAGAATAAAAAATATTTTTCGTTAAATTAAACTTATATTAATTAAAACATTTAATTTTGGAATACAGCTTTTCATGTACATGGAATCTTTTTTTTTTCCAAAACAAAAACTTTGATAGGTTTAGGGGTTCCTAAAGAAATTTTAAATTAAAAGGGGTCTTCGGGGTCACTAAAGTTTAAGAACTGTTGGAAAAAAAGATGTTGATATTAGTTAACAAAACAAAACTGATTGGCTGGGAGAATTTTCCAGAAGCGTGGATTCTATTACATAAAACGTTTAAGTAAAATTTACAAATTTTAAAAACTTTTTGAATAAATGAAGATACTTGTGCTGTTATAGAAGAATTCAGTTGGGTTTCTTTCAGGGTTCAGTGACGTAAGTAACAGTAATCCATACACGATTGTAAAAGTAGATGAAATTGTTACAAGTAATCCCATGTCAGGCTATAATATCGAAACCTGATATTTGAAACATTCTTTCTGCATTATCACTTGAGTCTCCACAGATTTTTTTCATGACCGTTTTTTATTTGTGGTACATGTGGTTCTTTTACTGGTATATATATATATATAAATAATTCTTAGAAAACAGTAATGCAAATACCTGTGTTCAACAAGCTGGTGAGTAAACCTACAGAACTCTATTACGTGTTATAGGTTTACTGAACTCTGTCACGTGTTATAGGTTTACAGAACTCTATCACGTGTTATAGGTTTACAGAACTCTGTCACGTGTTATAGGTTTACAGAACTCTGTCACGTGTTATACAATTACTGATCTACTTCTTATGATTAGGGAATTGTGTTTTTATATAAGTTTTCAAGCGTATATAATCAGCTTGAAGCTATAATATAAATAATTGTTTTTGTACTGTAAAATGTGTTAGAAACTAACAAGTTTTGGCACAGAAGCAAGAAGCATACCGAAGCGCTTGAACACGATAGGGAGAAATGCATCAAACAATATTAACGTGATAAATATCAAACAATATTAACGAGATAAAAATCTAACAATATTAACGTGATAAAAAGCTAACAATATTAACGGGATAAAAATCAAATAATGTTAACGTGTTAAATATCTAACGATATTAACGTGATAAATATCAAACAATATTAATGTGATAAAAATCTAACAATATTAACGCGATAAATATCTAACAATATTAACGTAACAAAGGTCTAGCACTATTAACATAACAAAAGTCTAACACTATTAACGTAACAAAAGTCTAAAAATAATAACGTGATAAACATTTAACAATTAACGTAACAAAAATCTAGCAATATTAACGTGATTAAAGTTCTTTTTTTTTAGGGGAAATGTAAATTAAGATACTTAGTGTTTAAACTACATAATGGTAATTCTGTGCATCAAGGTAACTTGGAGAATTAACAGAATTTAGATTTACTTTATATTGGCCATTCAAAGCTAAGCCTAAAACCTGAAAATATCTGAAAATAATGGTAATTCCGTGCATCAAGTTACACGTAAGCACGTGCAATGCTCCTAACTTACATTAATCTCATAAAAATCGATGTTACGACTCGTACCGTTAAATCGTTTATATGAGGGAAGAACGTGATTATAGTACGCGGCGTCACGCGATGTTTTTCATCTGAAAATATTGTTACACATTTTGTTTGATATTTGTTATCATTCACGTGTATTATTCTCTTTAAAAACTATTATGAGTGACTGCTGGGGAATGTGTAAACAACCATGGTTGTTTTTTTTACTCTAATAAAGGATTGTAAAAAAATAAAATATAAAAAACGTGAGACACGCAAGCAACCGCAGAAGTGTGGGTTGACTCACGCTGTAAGACTGCATCTACCACGCCCCCTTTCCCTTATATCCCTTACATATGGGTGAGGGGGGGTTGCCCCGCCCCCTCTGCGTGCCCGTCTACACCCTCAGCTCGACTGGTGCAATCAAAAGTCGACAAGCACGAGGCATGTTTCGATGAATGCTACCAATAGCGATTGGTTATTAATAGTGTTGGCTTTGTATAATGGCTCTCTGATTATCATAATTATATTGTTTCCATGGTAGTTTTTTTTAGTAACTCTGATTTTCACATTTTTGTCACTTATTAGTGAGTTGTGTTATTTTTATTTGAAAAAATAAATCGAAAACAATAAACGTACATTTTTTCCAAATAAAAATATGGTGTTATATAATGTTGATGGTGAGATTGATAGTATGACGTAGAAAGATGGTATAATATGACTTACTATGACGTAGAAAGATGGTATAATATGACTTACTATGACGTAGAAAGATGGTATAATATGACTTACCATGATGTAGAAAGATGGTATAATATGATTTACTATGACATAGAAAGATGGTATCTTATGACGTAGAAAGATGGTATATTATGACGTAGAAAGATGGTATAATATGACTTACTATGACGTAGAAAGATGGTATACTATGATTTACTATGACGTAGTAAAATGGTATAATATGACTTACTATGACGTAGAAAGATGGTATACTATGATTTACTATGACGTAGAAAGATGGTATAATATGACTTACTATGACGTAGAAAGATGGTATACTATGATTTACTATGACGTAGTAAAATGGTATAACATGACTTACTATGACGTAGAAAGATGGTATACTGTGATTTACTAAGACGTGCAGATATATAACATATTAAGTGGAAGATATTATCTGAGGTTAGAAAATTAATGCTTATTTGTAAAGTAATCATGTGGAACCGCTGATGTAATACGCTTGGCATGCTGGGTATTTATTAAATACATATTAGATTCTAAAGTACGAGGTTTTATGAACGGTCTACCGGTGAGACAGCGGTAAGTCTACGGAGTTGCAACGCTAAAATCCGGGGTTCGATTGCCTGCTGTGTATACAACAGTTAGTCCAATGTGGCTTAGTCATAAAACAAACACACACTCCACGAACGCTCTAGTGTCATAGTTAGATTTTTAAGTTACGACTGATTGTTTTTTGGGGGTCATGTGACCAAATCTTTCTTTGACATTTGCTACTGACAGTGTTTGTTTTGTGCCTTGTATTGAATACAGCTATAAATTTGATTTTATACAAAGTAATTGGCTTTAACATGGTTACAGTATTTTCTTAACACCAAAATAGGCCAGGAGCAACATCGTGGTTAAGCTTAAATAAATTTCTTAAAGATTAATACTTTTCGCCTATACATATATTTCCAACCATATAAAAGCGAAGGTTTTGTATGTAGACGTTTTGTGATTATCTATCATAATGAGAAATCATTGTGTTATTGTGACACATCAAGCAAAGATAAGATGCAGACACACACGCACACACCCCAGTACAACCAAATCACAGATATCGATCTGCCACTCGAACACATGTATAACATATTGCGTCTATAGCTCAAGTCACGTTGCATCCTTCCCAGAGAGTTTTAGTACGTTAGCTGCCAAGGCCATAAAACGTGACGTCATAACCTCCTAGGAACAATACCACTTCGCAAGACGGGGAGGAAAGCAACTAGAAGGACATTATTGGGCGTCCCGTTGTGAAGTCAGCTGTGACTCAAGTATCTCTTTATAAGCTAGCGGTTTTAATTTTCAGTAGGTAACCAACCAGCCAAAAGAAGACACGTGGCCTCTAAAACGAAAAGTACTGCTGTTATAAGGCGAGGAAATCTAATATGCTTTGTTATAGAGATTTTGCTTTCTAATTTCCTTAACCCTAGGGTTACCGATGGGGCCGGTAGCGCTTTATAAATTGTTTGTTTGTTTATTTGTTTCAGGGCAAAGCCACATTGCGTTATCTGCTGTATCTGCCAATTTTAGCGTTGTAAGTCCGTAGACTTACCGCTATCCAATTGGGGGGCCGTTTTATAAACACATTTTTGTAAACGAGTTTCGCACTACATTGTTTGTGGTTTAATAATGGCTGGAGACGGTTTTAATGGGTAATGAAAAAAAACTTTTATTGAAGTTTAAGATAAGAGGAAATGTACAAAG